GCTTTTTTTTTTTACTACATAAAAAAAAAAAAATAGAAAATACTAGCAGCCTGGGAAAATATAAAAAAAAAGAAATAAAAATCGTGATACTTAGGCTTTTTACACACTATACACACGCACGTACATGAACAATAATAATTGTTTTAAAAACTTTTTTTTTTTTTTAAACCTCGTCGTATGACACAAAGTCTTTTACTTCAATTTTTTTTTTTTTGATTTAATTTTTTTTTCACTACATATTCAAATTAAGTGATCGTGAGGCAACAGTCGAAAAATAGCCTGGGGAGTTACCTGGGGAAGTAATAAAAAGAAATGGAAATCATGATAAAAATCTGGGCTTTTTTTATACATCACCTTCATTCTGAAATAAGAAAAGTACAAGCAAAGGTACTTTATATAAATACTACTGATTTTCTTGAAAACAGAAAAGCTTTTTTAAAAGCATCACAAACTTTTTACAACTCAAGTTATGAAAAGACAAAGAAATTCATATTCAATAGAAGAAAAGCGCCAGGCCGTGGAGTTGGCTCGTTATACTTCAAATATGTATGCTGCCAACTATTATTCTTTAGATTTAACAATGCTTGGCCAGTAGGTCAAACTATTTTCACAAGGCACCCCTTCCAAAAAAAACTCATGAAGGGTTGGTTCTGGGTGTCGCATGTTTTTTCCTGAAGAAGAAGCTCAACTTTATGAATAGGTGAAGAAAGTTTGACAAAATGGTCTTGCTGTCACATATTCTAATCTGAGGATAAAAATGGCTGAAATAATGAGTAAAAGTTCTAAACAAACAAAAGATGAAACCAAAAAATTTGCAATTAGCAACTTTAAGTTCTCGCTATGATGGCTTCACTGTTTTTTAAAGCACCATAATCTTTCTCTTCGGCATAAGACTAAAATCGCACAGAAGTTACCAAGAGACCTTGAAGACCAGCTTCTTAGTTTTCAGTGGTTTGTAATCCATCTTCATCAAAAAAATGAATATCCTCTTAGTTTGATAGCCAATATGGATGAAACTCTCATTTGGTTCGACATGGCAGGGAATTTGACAGTAGATCAAACAGGTGCAAAAATAGTACATATCTGAACAACCAGCAATGATAAAAATCGATTCACCGTTGTCTTGACATGTCTTGCCAATAGTACTAAGCTCTCTCCGGTTATTATCTTTAAAGGAAAGGTTTGGCCAATTAATACACCTTCACCTCTGGCTGGCATGGTTGTTTGGTTCCAGGACAAAGAGTGGATGGATGAACCAGAAATGGAAAAGTGAATACAGTATTGGAACTGTGAACGACCAAGACATCATAATTCGAAGGCAATGCTTGTATTGGATTCTTTCTCTGGACATATTATGGATCGGGTTAAGGCTGAGTTTTATTCAGAAAATACTGATTTGGCTGTAATTCTCGGGGGGCTCACTAGTATATGTCAGCCTCTTGATGTTTGCATTAACAAACCTTTCAAGGACAAACTTCGAAATTATTGGCATGAATGGATGGTGAATAGTAGTAATGGCTTTACTAAGGGTGGAAACTTAAGACGTGCTGATTTGAATACAGTTTGTCATTGGGTTTTGAATGCCTGGAATGACATTTCTGATGATATTATTGTCCGAGCATTTAAAAAATGCGGTATCTCCAATTGCTTGTCAGGAAGTAAGGATCATTTAATCTACGATGATTGTAAGAATGATAAAGATGATGAATCTGATAAAGACGCTGCAGGATCTGATGAAGATGAAGAATATGATGAACAGCCTGATGAAGGTGAGGAGCCTGATAAAGGTGAGGAGCCCGATGAAGGTGAGGAGTCTGATGAAGATGAGAATATGTACGAATATAATAAGTGGTCAGAATGTTATATTGTTATTGGATAAGGCATGTTTGAAAGAATTGCATACCATATAGTATAAAGTAAGGATTCGAATATTAATAATAATTATTATTATTATTATTATTATTATTATTATTATTATTTATTTATCATGAAAGTAGGTTTAACACCACTGCTTATCGATCTTAGGATAATTATCAGGTCAATTATTTGACAGTCAGTTTCTATTAGATTTATCAAACAATGTAATGATGATTATAGTGCTCATAATAAACCTGATATTTTTGATAGTGCAAGAAAAATTATTTTAATAATTTATTTTATTATAATTTTAAATCTTTCAATTTATTAGTGATTAAATAATTTTAGTACAGTAGTTATATTTAAATCATGATAATCTAGCACTACGATCATATTTACCACATTTACAATATTAGCTTTATAAGCTTTATTGATTATCAAAAACCATAATAAATTGGTCTTGTACAGTGCATCATTATCAAAATGAAATTGGAGTTTGAAGAGTGAACATAAAGCATACACAAATTTTAGCAGATATGAGAAAATATTACAAAATATTACCAAACTTCTAATGCAAACCTGTAGATTATTTTATTAGCATGAATCCAAAGGTACTGTTAAATAGTTCAGATTTCAAATAAAGTTAAGATAATTGTAGAGTTTTTTAATGCGCTAAATATTTTACTTAGTGCTTCAAAAAAAAATTTCATTTTGAAAAATAGCGTAGCTAGATATGTATGTATTAAATTATCCAAATAAATACTAGTATATAATGAAATAATTAAATAAATAAGTAAATAAAATAGGTAATTAATTAATTTTACTTTTTTGATTTCATGTGCATTCTCCCACAGCGGGTCTATCCGGATTGCTGATCATGTCAACTTGAATTAATATACAGTATTGTTTATATATGTTTCAGATTCGAAAAAATAAGAGTAGCTTATTTTTGGAATTAAAATTTTTTTTAATTATCTGTTGATTTGACAAAAGAGGTAGCTTATTTTCGGATGTTAAACATTTTTAAGATTTTCAATCGAATCAAGAGGGATAGCTTATTTTTGGATGTAGCTTATTTTTGAAAATATACAGTATGTTTCGGAAATGGTACCCCATTTTCTTCTAGCCATTGGCCATCGTTTCCTTTTTACTTAAACACATGAGGACTTATCTTGTATTTGCACTACCCAAAGCCGGTTTGCATCCCTCTGTGTACACTGATCTATACAGATACCTGTATAAATCTGCATTCCCACAGATACCCTATGCTTGTTCGCAAAGGTCACTTCCAATTTAGGTATCTCAACTTTGATTGGTACGGCATTTATGTTGGTGTGTTCTACTTGTTTTGCCATAGGCTTCCATATAGGTGTGACCAGAGCTCTGGTTTGGTACCTTTAGACATACAGGACAGGCTACAACTTCTCTATACATACAGTTACTTTCTATTTTTAGTCATTCCACAATGCCAGAGGTGCTTCCAATCTTGATAAGGCTAATCCTTTGTCACAGACCTTCTATGCATGCACTGCTTCTCTCAT